GGGAGGAGGGTCGGACCACCCCGGCCATCAGGTGCCTGCCAGCATCCCTCCCCCTGGGCTCTATCCTGCCTCTCCCTGTGCTGGGAGCCAGCCCAGCACCACCTGCACGGCCTCATCCTGCCCTGGCGAGAGGCCTGGAGCCCAGCGGGGTCAGGGTCCATGGCTGGCGGCGCATGACATCGGCGCAGACAGGTCCCCATCACCCCTCAGTGGGCAGGCAGGATGCAGCCAATCGTACTCCATCATCACCCTGCTGCCTGTCCCCAGCCAGGCCATCACTGTGTCCTACTCCTGTCCCCAGCGTCCCCGACAACGGCAGTCGATATCTCCGCGGGACCGAGCTGAGCGCACTGCCGGCATCGCCGAGCCGGGAGCATCCTCACCCACAAGGCACCCTGGGGACCACCAGGCCACAGCACCCCCATCCTGTGGCTCTGCCCCCCCAGTGGCAAGGTCACGGGGACAAGCAAGGAGTGAGGCCGTGGTGGCCCTGCCACTGCCCCAGCGCTGGGGACACTTGTGTCTGACACCCTGTCAGCGGCCGTGGACTTTGTGCTGAGCGTGGGAGTGGTGACGGTGACGCATCTGCCAGCGCTGGCAGAGCCCCAAATCGCCTGTGAGACCCAGCTTCAGACCAGCAGGTAACAGCAGGGTGACATCCCCTCTGTTTGGGGGGATGCGGTGACACGGGGCTCCCCAGGGAGTGTGGGACCCTCTGTGGTGCCACTGCCTCATCCTCGCGTCTGGAGTCAGCTCCGGGGGGAAATCATGGCATTATTCCCATTTTAAAGCAGGGGAAACTGAGGCACGACAGCGTGTTGGCTGCCAGAGCGGCCGCACAGTCCTGCTTTTGGGGGATGAAGGCTGGAAAACCCCATTTTTCCTCCAAACTGCTGGGCTCAGAAGCCCAGAGGAGTTTTGCAACACCCCATTCACCTTCATCCGGGCTTCTCTGAACCTGGAGCCGAGCTCACCTGGGGAAGCCCAAAGCCCGGGATGGGTTTCAGGGAGGCTCTGGTGGGATGCAGGTGGAGCTGGGAATGGGGGAGCAGGTGTGGGTACTCAGCCCCTCTGTGGGGACCCACCCGTGGGTGGGGAAGGAGGTGGAGGTGTGCCCAGGGCTGGGCTGCCGGTGGATTTAGCTCTGGAGAAGCTCCGAGGTCTGGGTAAGAGCTGGGAGGGTAACACAGGGCTGTGCTCTGCTGTGTGATGAGGTGTGTTAGGTCTCTGCAGAACCCCCCTTGGGACTTCTCTGTCGGGGACCCACATGTTGCAGACTTGGGACCCTGCATGGTGCAAGCAAGGTGTTGGGGGGCTTGGGGCTGTGGTGCTGGACGTGGCTTGGGGGAGGGCTCAGTGATGAGGCAGGTGGTTGTTTATCCCCCAAGTCCGGAAATTCTCTGCTGGGAAGGAAAGGGAGGGGAGAGCTGGGCTGTTCCCAGCACCGGAGTGGGAGGGATGCCCCTGGCTGTGCCCAGAGGCAGCACAGAGACAGCCCCCTAAGTGTGGTCCTAGGGGCCCTTGACCCTCAGCATTGCCCTTTCTTCTCCCCACAGCTCCGTGGTGGCTCCGCAGTGACGGGGAAGGATCAGGGACCTGCTGGTGCCCAGGACAGGAGGGGACCAGGTGGTGACAGGTCAGTGCTGTGGCTCTTGGCTTGGGCTTTGGGTGCTGCTGCCCAGTGCCCCTGGGAGTCATTGCCCTGTCTTCACAACCTTTGCATGGATGGAGTAAGGGGGGAATGTGGGTAAGGAAATGGGTCCTTTGCTCTAGAAATGTGGCTTTTCCTGGGGATTTCCTGGCTGATGCAAGATGGGGCATAAGAAAGCCATCGGCTTTGAGCCTAAGAAGTGGCTGGAAAGAGATTGTCCCCGTCTGAGGAGAAGGGAGTTGCTTTAAAATTGATTGGATCCACCAAGATGTCAGCTCCTGGATAGGATAAGGAGATCAGGAGGAGTTGGAGAGATGTTGGTGGTCTTTTGTGGCAGGGAGAAGGTATAGGTCTCTGGGGAGCAGCTGGAACGGACTGCCTCAGCACTCCTGCCCCAGCAAGGGGCTGCCTGGAGCCTTGGGGTTGCATCCAGCTCCCGTCCTGACCGTGCCGGCACCCAGCGAGGAGCTGGTGGCACCATCATGTCCCAGGCAGAAGGTACGTCTCGGCCCTCGGCCTGTCCCCAGAGAGGCGCAGGGTTTGCACAGGGATCCCAGTGCTCGTGTGGCCGCCCCAAGGCAGCACCAATCTCCATCCCGTCCTGCTTAGTGGTCCTGTTTTGATCCTAAAAGCACCTTTTCCCCCAAAACTTCACTTGCAGGGTGCTGGGCTGCTCCAGGAGCTCCTGTAGCAGCAGCCCCTGTCCCCATGTGCTCCCCGGATCCCATCTGCGCTGTGTGGGAGGGCGGTCAGACCTGGATGGAGCTGGAGGGGGGCACAGAAACAAGCACTGGAGGGGAAGCACAGGCAGCTGACTCCCAGAGCATGAGGGATCCATGCATGGACACATACACCCTCCCCTTCCTACTCCATCCCTCCCAGGAGGCGAGGAGACCTTTGAATACTGCGATGTGGTCATCAACAGCCAGGAGAAGGTTTTGGATGTGTACACGCAACTGGAGAAGCTGGGAGAGTAAGTGGGGGTCCCGTGTCCCCTCTGCTTGGGGACGTCCATGAGCAGCTGTCGGTGGGATCCAGGGTGGTGGTGATAGCTCCATCCCTTATCCTTGCTCTGTCCCAGGGGAAAATTCGGGCTGGTGTACCGGCTGCAGGAAAAAGCCACTGGCAAAATCCGGGCTGGGAAATATTTCCGGACACGGACAGCTAAAGAGAAGCAAGCGGCACAGGCTGAAGTGGAGCTCATGAACCTGCTGCATCACCCGCGCCTCGTGCAGTGCCTTGCCGCCTTCCAGGGCCCTGCCGAGCTGGTGATGGTGATGGAGTAGTGAGTGGGGTCAGAGTCAGGTTTTGGGGTGACGGGCACAGTGCTGGACCCTGCAAGGAAAAGCACTGAAGGTGGGGAGGGGTCCCTGCACCATGACTCCATGGGGTGTAGGGTGGGTGGGGAATCTGCAGACCCTGGATATTCGGGTGAGATCCTCCAGGGCTGGTAGACCCCAGCAGGGTCCCCAGCACCTCGTCCTCCCCCAGCGTGGCCGGTGGGGAGCTCTTTGAGCGCATTGTAGACGACGACTTCGAGCACACGGAGCCCAGCAGCACGCAGTATGTGCGGCAGATCCTGGAAGGGCTGCGGTTCATGCACGGCCAGGCCATTGTTCACCTTGACCTCAAACCCGAGAACATCGTCTGCGTCAGCCCCAACAGCCACTGGCTCAAGATCATTGACTTCGGCTTGGCACGGAAGCTGGGTGAGCAAGAATGGGGGTCCTGGGGGACCGGGACAGTGTCACAGGGCCGGGCACCTTGGCAAGGGGCTTGGCATGCTCCTGCCTGCGCCTGTGGGACAGGCAGCCCTGTGGCACCACGTCAAGGCCCTTCCTGGTGGCATAAGATGCTCTGAGGGAACCGCGTGTCCCCAGCCCTGCTTCTCGGGTGGAGATGCCCAAGACCCCTCTGCCTGTGGGTGCCCAGCACCCAGAGATGCTCAAGGAGAGCACCAAGACCTGCAATGGGTCCTGGAGGGCAGTAGCTCCCCCTGGACACGGGAGCTCATCTTCTTGGCATGTGTTGCATGGGGCAGGTGTCCAGCTGCACACCTTCTTCTCTGCAGCTCCGGACACCCCTGTGAAGGTGTTGCATGGCACCCCTGAGTTCATGGCTCCGGAAGTCGTCGCCTTTGAGCCTGTGAGCTTCTCCACAGACATGTGGAGTGTTGGTGTCATCTGCTACATCCTGTGAGTGGCCTCCTGGGAGCAGCAGGTTGGGCTGGAGGAGGCTGAGCTGCCACTGATGTCCCTGCGTCACCTCTCCAGGCTGAGTGGGGAATCCCCCTTCCAGGGGAACAACGACATGGAGACGCTGAGCAACATCACAGCTGCCCGGTGGGACTTTGAGGAGGAGACCTTCTCGGAGATCTCCCAGCAAGCCAAGGACTTCATCAGCCAACTGCTGCAGAAGGACCCCCGGTAGGACCTGGGGGTGGCTATGGGGTGCTGAGCTGGAGCTGGGTTTTGGGGTGCAAGGCGATGGGCAGGGGAAAGCACTGAATGTGGTTGGTGGAGGGGATGCTCCGCGGGACCATGCCAGCACCAAGGGTCTGATGGTGGAGCAGTCCCCCCTGACTGCCCTGTCTGCCCCAGCCGCCGACTCCCCAGCGCGGGGGCTCTGCTGCACCCCTGGCTGCAGCAGCCTCAGCCCAGCAGCACGAAGGCGCTGTCGAAGGAGAGGATGAAGCAGTTCCTGACGCATCGGAAGTGGCAGGTACCCAGAGGGATGATGAGGACGTGGGGATGGGGATGGCTCTGGTGGGGCTCAGTGCTCCTTCTCTTCTCTCCAGAAAACAGGCAAAGCCCTGCTGGCTCTCAACAGGTTGACCTTGCTGTCCCAGAGCCTGGAGAGGAAAGCGTCAGAGACACAGGATGAGGAAGGTGATGGCCTCTGAAACATCATCCCCAACACACCCCATGAGCCCATTCTCTCTGCTCTGCCATCCCCAACTTGTGCTCCTGGGCAGCTTTCCACACCTTTTCTCCAACTTGCCCTGGTGCTGCCAAACAGCCGGCTACGTCCCCTCTGTGGCATTGCTGCTCCAGCCTCAGTGCCCCAGGGTCCTCCCTCCCTCACCCCTGAGGGACCATCTCTGGTGCAGCCTTGGAATGGGCACATCCTGCTCTGCAGGGCTGGGATCTATGTGTGATCCACACCTCTGGGATCCAGAGCTGGTGCCCGTGGGTGCCATATGCGTTCCTCCAGCTGTCTCCTCACTGTTCCCTCTGTCCATCTGCCCGCAGACCTGAGCTGCAGCCCGGAGGAGGACCAGGCTGCTGGGTCTCTGCCCCAACAAGGTCCCAGCTTCTCGGAGCTGCTGATGGAACAAGAGGAAGAGGAAGGTGGGACTCCTGCCGCCACAGGGGAGGCAGAGAGCAGCACTGGCATGGCTGTGCCCCCCCAGCCCTGGACCCCCTAGAGCAGCTGGTGAGAGAGGGGCAGGGAGGGATGGGGATGAACCCTCCTCCAGCAGCTCACATGAGGACCCGGCCAGCCTGGGGTGTAGACCCAGACCTTAGGGCTCCTCTCCTCTGGGTGAGCTCTCACAGTGCCCCTGTGCTGGTGTGGGGACAGCCATGCCTGCTGTCCCCAGCAAAGAGCCGGTGCTCTCTGCATGGCCATGCAGGGTGGAGCTGTCACCAATAAATTACCAAGGATCTCTGCACTCCCTGTACTGTGCCTTTTTCCCCCCAGAATCACTGGGAGGGGTGCAAAAGAACTGCCCAAGCTCTGTCTGCCCTTTGGGAGCTGGCACCAGGCTCTCCCCCGACCTCTGCCACCACCCTTGTCTCCTCCGGGAGGGGGCCCTGGGCACTGGGGCAGAGTGGGAATGGGTTTAGCAGCAGCCCTGGTGACCCTTGTTTAGAGGTGTCTGCCCCCATCATCAAGGTGAGTTGGCATCATGTCCTGAGGTCACAGGCAGGAGGAGCCGGATAAGCCCTGGGGGGTCTGGTGTCCTCATTTCTAGGCCACCTCTGGTACCAGCAGGGCTGGAAGGATCCCTGAAAGTGCTGTGTGACCTCCAGCTTCCCCCTAAGGAGGCAGCTCGGGCAGAAACCGGTGTCTGGGAGCTGCTGTTTGTCAGCAATAGGTGCACAGCTCTGCCCTTGGGGAGGAACAACCCCAGACGCCAGTGTGTGCTGGGGGACACCCAGCTGCGAAGGAGCTTGGCCTGAGGGTCCTGCTGGACACCAGACTGGCCGTGAACCAGCAAGGGGCCCTTGCTGCAGAGAAGGTGAGTGGTGTCCTGGGCGGCATTAGACAACGCGTTGCTGGGAGGTGGAGGGGGGTGCGCCTTCCCCTTCCTCAGGACAGGTGAGGCCATGCCCGGAGGGCTGTGTCATGCTCTGGTGTCCCAGTGCAAGACAGACACAGACATGCTGGAGAGGGCTCAATGAAGGATGATGGGCTGGAGCAAGTCGCCTATGAGGGAAGGCTGAGAGAGCTGGGGCTATTTAGTCAAGAGAAGGCTCAGGGGGATCTCATCAATATACCTGCAGAGCGGGTACAGACATGATGAGGCAGGTTCTTCTCAGGGCTGCCCAGAGGCCATGGGCACCAACTGAAATGCGGGAGGTTCCATCTGACCCTCAGGAAACACTTTTTTTACTGGCGATGGAGCACTGGCACCTGTTGCCTGGGAAAATGCTATGATCTCCATCCTTGGAGATATTTAAAAAAGCTATCTAGGCATGGTCCTGGGGAGTCTGTTCTAGGTGGGCCTGCTGGGGCAGGAGGATGGACCAGGTGACCTCCAGAGGTTCCTTCTAACCTCACCCATTCTGGGGTTCTGCCTGCTGAAGCTGGGCTGGGGGCTGCTCTCCTCCAGCACATGCCACATACCTTGTGAAGGTGCCTTGGTTGAGTGGTCCAGCCCTGTCCCTGCTGCCAAGGTGCAGCTGTCCCAGGTAACGCACAGCTTCGACCCTTCTTCCTCCTCTTCTTCCAGCCCTGCTGGGTGGGGCCACCAGGGCTACGAGGAAGGTGTTATTTTTATGAACCAGAACCAAATCCACCTGCTCTCACAATCACGATGGGGATGTGTTTGAGCACTGTGGCCAGGAGCAGTCATGGGACACAAATGACATCAGAGCAGCAATGGCAAGCCCGCTTCCAGATAGTTTGCTGAACCCTCTAGGAAGCTGACAGCCACTGTGACAGGATGTTTTGGTATCAGGATTTGGCATCCTGCTGCCTCTGGAGATGGATAGACCAGCCAGTGTGCCTGTGGCCCTTTGGCTGGGGGACTTCATGGCTCTATCTGTTCCTCTCTTGGGCTAACAGGGAAGGATGCTGTCACCTTCCTGTCCCACTATTGTGGTATTGACTCTCTAGCTGACAAGGCTTTATCAGCACCCAGGCCTGCCTTGAATTTTTGTGGCAAAAGCCTGTTCCTCTTAACGCCCATGGCTGATGGCTGCTCCTGGGTCCATGTGACCACGGGAAGCAGGAGGCTGCCGTGGTGTGGCAGAGCTGTCACATGCACTGCCCAGGACTTGGTGGTCTCTTCCCTTGTCAGAAACAGTCGATGCAACTTAAGAAGGAACTTCATTTGGAAGCTGGTGCACAGACCCCCAGTCCCTTTTAGCTCCCCCTCCCCAGCGATGGTGAGGCCACTTTGATGTCTTCATTGCTTGGCATGCGATGTCATTCCTGTCGTTCCTTGCAGGGTTCACCATGGCTCTTTAACAGCCAGGTGAGATGCCTCTTGACAGACCTCGCCTGCTTTCCGTTCCTCCCATGTTTTCAGAGGAAGAAGTGGTTTCACTGCTCTGAGTTGGAAGAGAAGCTCCAAGAGAAACACATAAACAAACAAAAATATTTCGTGTCCTATCCACAGAATTTGTTTTCCCTTCCCAGAGTAACGGAGAGAGTCTGAGGAACCCCTTTCTCCTCCACACTGCTCTTCTCTTGATGTTCACACACATCATATCCCAGTTTTTCCCTCTTATCTATTCCATGTTTTCCTTGTTACACAGACTCTGAACTCACACATGTCCCTTGGAAAGCAAGCCGAATGCCTTCAAGCTGCAGATGATAAGGAAACACCAAGTTACGTATAATCAATCCCTTGATGAGCTATTTACCATGTGATATTACCAAAATATTTCTTGTTGGGAACTATGTTTATCTTCAGCTGTTTTCCAAACTTCTCGCAACCCTGAAAATCCATGTCCCAGGACTCCAGGCATGAGCTTTCTCTCTATAATCCTGTGTTTTGCACTCTAAAAAAAAATACTTACCTACAGAAGCAGCTGATTTACCTGCAGAAAGCTCACATTTCGTCTCCTTCCACTGCTTCCCACAGCTTAACACATTAAAATGTGTGCTTGAGAAAGCAGTGGACTAAATGAAGAGCAGAGTTACACCTGGAAGTCATTACAGCCACCAAGAAATTCAGCAGCACTGAAAATAGAAATACAGTTGCAGCATCTCAAAGGCAAAGGAATTAAGATCTTAGTCCTTCCATCAAGAAGGACTCTTGGGTTGACCTTCACTTCAGCCACGCAACTTCAGAGTAAGTCCTCAAATCAGAAACCCTCCATCAAGGCACAGAGGAAGGGGATGCCCTTGGGGAACCTTGAGAAACAGCTCCCTCGCTGTCTTAGGTACCCCTAGGTCCAGCTCCTCGGAGGTACGTGAGGTGGGGTCAGCGGTCTAGGTACCTGCGACCTTCTGGGACATAATCCTTCGGTGCCAGGTTACAGTGATAATCTTGGGTTTATTTTGGGCTGCATGATCTAGGCCTAGGGGTGTTTTTTTGGGGTGAGGAAATATTGCCTGGGTAGCTCTAACATCAAGAAATAGTATTTTTTTGTGGACATGCAAATTGGATGTCCAGTTAATTGAAATTCATTAAGAAAACAAACCAGTGTGTGAAGTCAACCTTAATGTCAAAAAATATTAGCCCTGGGCATATACTGAAGATGGTTATTTGAACACTTCAATTCCAGAATGTTTTTTTAAGGACTATTAGAGCAGGGAGCAAACTGCCACCACGTAATTGGAATTGTCAGATAAAAGCCTTCATGTATTGCAGGTCAAACACCACAAAACTGGTGAAAGCAGAGAAGACATGAGAGTATGAGGACGTGGTAGCAACAGATGCAAAGGCAATTAAAAGAGGACAGAAGCTGTAAGTGATAAAGGATCATCAGGAATACCTGAGTCGTGATGCGCTTGTCTCTCAGCAAAGCTCCCTGAGGGAAGCGGGGTGTCCTCCCCTCCCAAAAGGCATGGCCAGGTCCTGGCCAGGCTCTGTGGAGGTCAGGAGGCTCTTCATGGTCACGGGAGCTCGGCAAACCTCTCCCCAAGGTGCAACATCCAGGATGGGTCATGCAGGGATGGCCCAAGAGCAGATAAGAGCCATTAAGTCCCCCAGCCAAAGGATCACAGGGCACCCTGGGTGCTCTGCCACCTTCGGAGGCATCTGTCTCTGGGACTGAGGGGTGAGCAGGATGCTCCCCGACCTCATCCTCCTGGTATTGCTGGGGCAAGGATTCCGATGTCCAACCGGCACCAAGGACCTCCAGCACCCCAAAACCCAAGACTGGGCTCCCTCTTTTCTGCTCAGGACCGTGCCTGCAGGGATCAGCCCACCCCCAGATCTCTCCTGAAACACGTCCCCGTGCACAAAGGGCCACAGGCCCTGTCCTCCCGGGTGCACAGCTCCCATTTCACACCCCGCTTTCACTGCCGTCATCCCACCATTGCAGCCCTCACCATGGCCAGGAGATGGTACCATTGGCCTCATCCCTGCCTCTCCTGGGGATGGAGAGCCACAGCTGTCCCTCACGTCAACCCCACCCCGCCCAGCCCTGCCTCCTGCTCCGACCGCCCTTGCCCTTGGCATGGGAGATCCCACCCCAAGTCAAGAGGGACCTGCTGGGACTTCTGAGAGCAGAGCCTGGCCCTGCCTGGTCCAGCAGGCAGCCTGGGACCTCCCTTAGGGCTCAGTCCACACCAGGTCTCCTGTATGGGGGTCTCCACTCCTGCCCTTCACCCCCTGGCTGGGATCCCAACCCTGGTGCTTCCCAGCAGGGAAGGTCCTTGCACCCTTTTCCAGCTGTGGTCAGGAAGGTGTTGCCAGCATGAACCTGGGTGCTCTGACAGCGCCCAGGTTTCACCTCGGCATCTGGGCAGGATGTTCATGCTGGGATCCAGACCTTGAGGTCCCCACAGACCCCCTGCCCTGAAGCAGAGCCCATCCCCGGTGTGGGATGGCTCTGGGTGAAAGCCTGGGACCTCACACATGGTCCTGGTGACATCGTCCCTCCTGGGCACACTGCTGGGACAGCATCGGGGAGGCTATCCCCATGCCTGCGGAGGGTCGCAATGCCATCCCTTAAAAACCAGAATCTTAGGGAATTAAATGCAAAATATTTAATGAAATGGAAATATTTAATGAAATGATGAGAT